GTCGAGGGAAGTCATGAGGTGGCCAGTCTATGGCATTGTACATAGGCAAGAAGAAATTGACCGAAAAACCTGGTCAGGCTGATATGTGCCTTCACAGCATTTACATGTTAATATTCCCACCCCATTAATTTAACTCGTTTCTTTCTTAACATCTCTTTTTGTTCGGTCCACATTTTTCCCAGTGATTTTGCCATTGTTACTTAATTTTATCATGGGGACGCAAGTTTCGGTACCTGCATCCATTATAAATCGGTTTCCGTCCCATAGTTTAACTGAGGAACTGAAATTACAAAAATTAGGGCGACGTCAGTGTTATCTGGTTTATCTGATGCAACCCTGCGTTATACTTTTGTCTTTTGTTGTCTGATAACGTATCGTTTGCTTACAATTGCTACAGAACTATTCGTTCCCTTATAGGACAGAACATAGTGAGCATCTGAGTTCTTAATCCTATATTGCTTTTTGACACCATTTCAGTTGTATTAGCTTCTTAATGCCCCTGAATTCGATAGCCAGCTTAGTGAAAATATCGAGTTCTCGGAATTGCGTATCTAGCGAGCTTGTAGAGAGAGTGGCCAGTTCACGCTAACAGACTATTGGCTACTACCGTTCCCAGTGATTAAAAAGTGAAGGCATGGAAGTGACGGGACAGTGTATTGTGGTACACGCTGTTCCAGTGTATTAGCTAAAAATACTACACCGAACGACGCAGCTAGCTAGTGAAGCATGTAAGAGACTGTGCGATGACGCGGCGTATTGAATCCAACCGTGGCGCCTTGTGTGTATCTCGCGCGTGTGTTGTGTCAGACAAACAAATGCAACTTACTTATCATCCATCTACAAACAACCTCTAGGTGTACACAACATACTCAGGGGGAATCTTCAGACTGCCACACAGCCCTCACCCAGAAGGAACTGTGTAAACAGTCCTTCGATCTACGTGAAGACTATCCGTCGCGGACCTGTCTTCTGCGAGACCGGGTGGTTAAACCTGATGCAGCTGCTGGGGGAGAACCAGGCAATCGGATCCTAGCGGGCTCCCATCCGTGTCCTCCCTAACGGTGTCGAAACGGAAAATTTGTTTGCCAAAGCGCTTCGTAGGGGGTCATCGTTCCACGGGAAACGTTCAATGCACAAGTTGAGACGTCCGGCTCCAACGTGAACCTGCGACCGAGTTGACAGGCGTACATGGAAAGCAAACGGGAAACAGCAGTGACAATAGTGCATATCAATAACAAGTGCTAAATTAAAATATCCACCAATTTTTTGCTTTTCAATATATTTTACTCTTTTTGGTGGTTTCAAAACATTTTGCTATTTTTTGTTGTTTTCAAAAATGGTAAAGATGATCTAAGCAGAAAAATATGCTGTACAAAATGACGAGGTCAACGTGCCTGTCGGCTTGACTTAGTCGTTCTCAACGATTGGACGATGTTAAAGGTATTCCAGCGGATGTCGCTGAATTGCCTAGACTATGCGTTATTGGCGGAGGAAAAGGCTTCTTTTTAGAGACATAGTCGTTGTCGATATGGGCAACATTTAAGCGACTAATAGATACGGATTCACGCTTCCCTTGGCGATCGATGACCTATACTTTATCGTTCCATTGGAGGACTCTAAATGGTCCTTCATATGGCGGAGCCTGGGATCGTTTGACGCTGTCAACTCGTACGAATATGTACGTACATGCCTGAAGCTCAGGCGGTACAGAGGTTTTATGGCTCTGGGCACGGGTGCGCGTAGGTGCGAAACAATGCCTGCTTGAAGTGAGTTGCCATGAAAAGGCTTTATGCGTAGGTAGTGAAACTCGTCGAATGCGGAGGGAACTAGGCGTGCGAAGTTGTTCAATCTCCGGATCGGTCTGTTGTGCAGCAGCCATTGCTGCTAGATCGATGTTGTGACCAAGTCTAATTGGACTAATCTGAATAAGGCCTCTGCGACAAAGTTTTGCACACCTGAGACGTGCCGTATGTATGGCGTGAACTGTGAGACATAGTTTAGGTTATTGATCTCTCTAGGGGAGTATTTTTCGGGGCAGGTGCACTTGTTCTGTACCCAATACTCGCCACGCGGTCGCCAGTCTACTTCGGCACCATGTTAAGATGTGAAGTCCATTGACTTTCGGATAGGCGGACAATACCAAGTTCGAGCATATGCTCGAATTCTGCTTTGGCCACTTCAATTTATCAGAGGCAAGGCGTCGTGGTCGAGCGGGGACTGGACGGGTTCGTATGTGGTGCGTTACGTCAGTTGCTACTGGAATCACGGCGTTAGAAGGGTGAGCCAGCTGTGGGAACTGCGCGAACAGTTCTAGAACGTGTTTGTCAGCTTGTGTCTGGAGATAAATAGATATAACAGTTTCGGATGACGTCTTGGTTCCGCAAATACAAAGACTTGTTTGTTTGTCAATTAGATTTGCTGACGAGTATCGACTATTAAATCCGTGATGCAGGAAATCGATTCCTAGCATAGCAACGGAATTTGCGTTGAAGGCCAAGATCGATGGGTAGGGAACGGTGGTCAGAATTGCTATGGGCGTTCCGTTGGCGGCACGTAGGTTTGTTGCCCGCCGCTTATTCGATTCTTTTGGGCTGGTTGGATCACGCTGACTCCCCTCCCCCCAGTGTCCACTAGGAACATGATCTCTGAGATTCTTTCGGCTATCTTGCATAGACAGCTTGCGGTATTTTGAGTAGCAACGTCAGTCGCCAGTATTTGTCGATCAGTTTTTTCTAAGCCACCGTTGGTGGGCATCGGTTGACGGCCTTATCTTTGCACAATAGCCAGCTGTTTATGACGGTATGTTGTTTGCACAAGGTGTAGGCGTCTTTACCCTGAATGTTTGCTTAGGCCATTAAAGTTTTTCGGTATGTCCCCCTTCTCTCCTTTTATTATTATTTATTTCATAGGGCATCATGGTTGTATGGCAGCGAAGCATCAGTTCAAATGGCTGATGTACTGCTGTTATTATTATTATTATTATTATTATTATTATTATTATTATTATCAGACTGTGAATCTGGTGTCATCTGTGAAGGCTTTGTTCAGCCTGCTTCTTGGTCGATGCTAAAGTGCAAGATTTTACGCAATTCCTAGCAGCGCTGTTGAAGCACGCAGAGTCACGGGATATACTGTGTCGTGCTGTATTACGAGCGCGACTACGCGAACAGTGTGCGTCCCTACACTGCTGCTGGTTTAGGCTCAAACGTTGGACTTCTCGTTTGTGTGAGGCTATTTCGTCCACAAGGACCTGCGTTGAAGGCAGGTTGTTTGCGTTGTCGTTTAACAGAGCGACGGTCTGTACCCGGTGAAGCGCGTCAGCTTACTGGGCGATGCTAGACAAAGCGCAAAGTGGTTCATTGTAACGCTCCAGTACGCTATCTGCAATTTCGGCGGTTTCTGACAACGGTTTAGACCTAGCGAGGCATAAGATAGCCTGTTTGTGCTCAGGCAAACGTTGCAGCCATAGTATTTGACGCAAAGATTCGTCCATGCTTAAACTTCTTAGAAGACGGCGCATCTCCAGTAAGAATGTCGACGGTTTCTTGCTTCCTAACTACAAACCGGCAAAGAGTTGATGCAGGCGAGATCTGTCTGAAGGTATGCATTCTTTTATTACGGCCTCTCAGAGCGTTATAACGATTGGTCAGGTCAGCTCTTACAGTCAGATCCTCGAGTTGGACGGTGAGATCTAGGGGTAGACGAGATAACAAGTTGTTGAACTTATCTAAATCACGTGTGACACGTTTTTTGGCAAATTCTACTTCCAAGCTTGTGAACCATAATGTAGTGTTTAGCTGCATAAACGGAGGAACTATCAGATTGACTGAATGAACAGTCTGCTCGTCCTCACTATACTCAGAGACTGAGTCCATGGTTCCAAGAATAATAGACACTTGGTGAAAGTGGATGAAAAAGTGTCACGAAATGGATCAGGAAAACTTGGAACGGCTCCACCGAAAAGGCGAATATACTTCCTATGTGGCGGGGAATGATTCGGAACTGCGTCGCCAATACAATGACAAAATTGATTGTGAACTACTGGAATGAGTAACTTAAAAAATTACGGCTAAAATCCTGCTACTTACGAGTAAAATAAAATAAATAGCCTCCTAGTTTCAAATGCTATGGATATAGCGTCTAGTGGGAGTACGTCATCACCTCGCAGGCTAGCCACTGTCAGTAACAGTGGAAGGTAGGTGGTGCTATATCCCAATTAGCTTGCAACTTATGTAGTCCAGCCGATGTTCCTCATGGCTCAGTGACTTAAGCTGCTGGTTAGTTGGTATCTGCCTCTAACGGTCATGGGTTCGATCCCCATTAGGGGACCGAGGAGATGCGCACCACAACAAGCGCCAATAGGACGAAACGCGTCTGGTACCTTTTCGGAATATGCTGTGCTATGCAGCTTGTGAGCTACTGTGATGAGTACCTAAAAAATTTACAACAACTCCTGCTACTTGCAAGTACTATAAATTTGATTATTGCCGGACGGTGATTCTTGTTGGGGTCACCAATGTAACGATGAAATCGATCTTGGTCGCGGCAAGAATTCCAGTCCAGTGTAGCGAGAGTAGCCGGCTCACGCTAACCGACCATTCTTGAATACCGCTCCAAGTGATTGAGAAAAGAAGGCACGGAAGTGACGGGACGGTGTATTGTGGTACACGCTGTTCCAGTGTATTAGCTAAAAATACGACACAGCTAGAGATGGATGTAAGAGACCGCGCGGTGGAGCGGCGTGTTGAATTCAACCGTGGCGCTTTGTGTGTATCTCGCGTGTGTTGGGTCAGACAAATAACTGCAACATACGTATCATCAATCTACAAATAACCTCTAGGTGTTGTGTAAGATACTAAATAAAATGACCTCATTTTATTTAGTATTTTACACAACATACTCAGGCAATCCCGGGGAATCTCCAGACTGCTACAAGCTCACGTGCTGCAAGACCCGCAGTTGTTATGTATCTTACACATCTGCTATTATTCTTTACTTCAGCTGATGCTTGACCAAATGTTTTTGACGGAAGTCGGTCCTTCTTTCGGCCATCCCACGTTTCCCGCGTCTGCAGATCAACGTCTATTTCAGACACAAGGTGGCCCAACTTCCACACATTCCAGGGGATCTACTGAATCTCCATCCAATACTGACAGCGATTTTCATGCTGCTTGTCTTTCCTCCTCCGTGTCTGGTATGACATCAAGCTTACCCACCAGCTCGCTTTCGACCCCCCAACACTATTCCAGCGCTGCTTTAAAGATAGAAGATGATCGTGACAGTATACCGTCTTCTATTAGCCATACGGATTCCACTGAACCGATGGGATACGTATGTCATGATTGTGGAGGCGTTTTCTCCGATGTATGTCGGTAACCATTATCAATTCTACTTTACACTTATACTGTCCGAAAATGTTTATTTTACTCACGATATTTTACGTCTCTTTTCAGCATTGTGTTTCTTTTGCATCCACCTTCATCGCTAACAACCCCGTAATTTGCCACTATTTTTTAATGCTATCTTAACTTGTTCTTTGGCCATTTGTTAGTGATCCTGTACGTTTTACAAAAGCATTGAAACTGGATTTCTGGTGTTTAGCGGCTAACAATTCTACCACTTACCATCACTCTGGCCCTTCTATACACAAGCAAGATGTTTGATCCGAAACATTATTGATTATGTTGTTAGTGATGTGCTTGATTTATTATTATAGTGAACGGATGTTGATCGTTGTCAATTGTGCAAATGAGAGCATGTTAACATTGGTACACAGTATACGTGTGTGCATACGTCTGCATTGTGTACAAAGGGGATAAAGTCTCGATGAGTCTCCGCTCGCTTTTTGTGGTTCAGTTCCATGTATTTGCATTGGAGTTAGCATTCCGGCTCTAACTTGTTTACACGCCATTTCGCTGTTGCACTTCAGTGAGCGCCGTCTGGGATATGCGTAGTTCACGTCAGCTCTCTGACTTGCTGTGCATCAGCCAAACCTCAAGAGGCTTTCGTAGTAACGCAGTCTTCGGGTCAAAGAAGGGATTGCTACCGAGTTGTTAGATTTTGTTACCAGATGAACGATCGCCCACACACATACACGCACTGGTGTGCGACACGATTGCTTCATCTATTCCATGGTCTGACTGCCTACTAGTGCGGCTCTATTGTTTTCCTCCCATCACGCAGTCGCTTGTATGTTCTTATCTCCTCATCATACTCGACGAGCCATTCACATCTTTTTTATTCCTCCGTTTTGCATGATGTTTCTCTGGGCCGCATTCGTGCATTACTGATGGGATTAGCTAACGTCTTAACAATGGTCGGGTGGCACTTTACCATGATGCTCTCGTTTCTCATTTTGAACCGTTCATCATCATCATTCTCATTACACATTAGCTGAAGTTGAGAAACCCACTACAACTATTGTGCTGCAATACAAATCATAAGGTATATGAAAAACGTAACAAACTGTCTAGTAACATATTATACTTCAAGATACAGATCTATGTTGGAGAGAAAAGTAAGTGGGATGGGGAGGATCCAAGAAGTTCACAACACAGACCCCATTGAGCTTGGCTTCTCGCCAAATCAACAACCATATCCAACCAGTGGTGTTCTCTGTCGTTCGGTCTTCAACCCGGTAGTGAGGAGACACCAACTGACACCAAGTTCTAACTAAGTCTTCACTTCTTGACCAACTCTTCGTTTGGCCTCCCCTTATCTTCCATCCACACCCTCGGCGTGCAAACAACGTACGACGCGGGAGTCGATGTACTGGTGTACACAACACGTGGCCCAACCATCGAAGCTTGATGGGTGAACTAACAGTGCAGAGCAATTCACCCGCTCTTTCTGTACCAACTACGCGGCGCCGAACACGCTCATTGCTCGCACGGTGTTCTCACCAAATGAGCTAAGCTGCGAAGACAGCGATGGTAGAACGTAACTAACCTGTTTATGTATGCCGATTTGATGGACCAGGTTTTGGAACCGTACAAGAGGGTTGAACGGACGGCTGCACTGCAAACTCTGCCCTTCAGGGCGAGAATGATGTCGCACCGGCGTCACAGATGGCGGAGATTAACATAAACACCTCGAACTTTTGCCATACGGTTCGTGATCCCATCTTCCATTCCACTGTGTTTGATACAGCTGCCTAGCTGCTTTATCTCTCGAAAACTAGCTGATCATCTCAACAGCAAGCGCAGGAGTAGGTCTCTGCCAACTTCGTAGAAGGACTTTGCATTTCGTGGGTGCTAAGCATAACTCGAAACGATTGACAGTCAATGCTAATTTGTCCAGTGCCACTGGGCACATTTGGTGGCTATCGCATATAAGAGCAATGTTGTCAGCGTACTTCAAGTCAAGAAATCGATCACTTGGGAGCAGCTTCATGTCTTGTAGATTGTGTCCAGTGAACACAGCATCCATGACTTTCTTGATGGAGAAGTCAAAGGGGAATGATGATAACGGACATCCTTGTCTCACACCACTGGAAAGATTGAAAGGCAGCGACAGCTTACTGTAAGCCCTCAATCTGCCCGAACTATGTGCGTAAAACGCTCTAGTAATGTTTTCTTATTTTTCTGACACTATTTCTGAATAGACAGTCCCAACCGAATCGAAGGCATCTTTGATGTCGCGGAACACGACTATGGTTGGTCGTCGATAAATGTAGCTGTGCTCCAGCAGTTGACGTAATGAAATGATGTGATCGGTGCAGCCTCGACCTCGACGAAGCCCGGCTTGCTTTTCATGAATCTAGCTTTCACGAGTGCCAGTAAGTCTCTGAAGAACGGCAGAGGTGAGTATCATAGAGGCAATTGAGATCAGACTGATCACTCTATGATTGCCGCATTCCAAACGTGAGCCGCCTTTGAAAATTGGGACTATGATGGAGCAGCTCCAGTTTGATGGAACAGTTTCCTGCTCCCACAACTTCACTAGTAAGTAATGCGCATCATCTACAAGAGCAGGCCCCTTAGTTTGTAGAGGGTTGGGTGAAGTCCATTGGTTCCTGCGGCCTTATTCAATTTCAACAGTTTGATCTCCCGTGAAGGCGGGTCCAAGGGACAACCCAGGGTAAAAAGCGATCATTGGCCGACGGAGAAGCTGCTAACACTGGCTCATTAGACTGCTTTTAAAAGTGTTTGGCCCAACGCACCGAGCGTTTTGACGAAATGTGAATTGCCCGTCCATCCTCGTCAATTATGGTCTCGCTAACACCAGGACTTCTGCCCCTTTTGCATATCAGACGGAATAACTTCCGATGCACGATCATCGTCATCATCAGCAATGCACCAGCCATTTGAACTGATGCCTTGCTGCCATACAACCGCAACGACCTACGGAAAGAAGAAGAATTAGAGGGAAAGAAGGCGGACTTACCGGAAAACTTACTGTCATAAACAAACATTCATTGTCAAGTTGCCTGCACCTTGTCAACAACATACTGTCACAAACAACTGGCTACTGTGCAAAGATAAGGCGGCATCAGCGAGACAGCTTCCTGGCGGCTTTCAATGTCCCACCTCATAAGCAGCTCATACCCCGCGGGTAACTCAGCACAAGACACACCTTAAACAGGTGATCAGACTAGGAGGGAGCAGCAGACTCGCCACTAGTTTCCATTGCGAACCATGCTCTGTAGACTCTCTAGCCAAGCACAAAGCGAGTCAAGTGGACTCCAGCCTGGAAGGCGAGACGGACTTCACCGAGTTTGGTCATCGGTAACTTCATTTCCCGCTGCCAAGTCAACTTTTGTCCATCTGGAGCCTAGTGCCATCCTGCATCTGGCACACAAAGCAAGGCTCTCCTTGGTAAACGGTGCCCAAGTCAACACAATTTATTCGGTGCTATCTGTTTTTCTAAAGAACTATCTTGCTTATCACTGTCTAGCACTCGCTTGCGCTCATTATCGTTGCGGACACGCTGGTGCCACCAGACACCAGCAATGCTCCGCAGACTTGAAAGTGCCTCAAATTGAAGTATCTATGTCTCACTCCCATAGAATAAGACGGCCCTCACTGTGACCTTGTAAATACGGCCTTTCAGACGGAGAGAAACTCCCTTCTGTCGCCCCAGGTGTCACCGATACATGAAAGCAGTTCTGGCTTTTGCAATGCGTGAACTGACTTCAGTGATAATGCACCCATGGCTTCTGATTGATCTACTACCTCGAGTTCCTCGCTATCAAGAGGTCACCGAGTGGTTGGTGGCCCTGCAGCAACGCTTTGCACTTTGAAGGTGCGAAGCGCATACCAACTAATGGGACCACACTAGAAGGGTTATTCCAGGTTGACTGCGCCGCCCCAGCATCGCTAAACAGCAAGACAATCTCTTCCGCATAATTAAGATCAACTAACCTGTCACATGTTAACACCTCAATGCCTGCATCGTGAGACTCCGCAAGGGAACACTCTGATGGAATCCACGAAATTGAGCAAAAATAGGATAAGTGGACAACAATGCCGAGCGCCATTTGTTATCGGAAAGATAACCGTTAAATCACTGTAGAACTTGAGGCGGCATGCCGTGTTCGAGTATGGAGCACGTAAAATGTTCACCTATTTCCTGGGAACCACTCCTTGAACACAATGGATCTATCGACTGAATTGAACACACTCTTGAAATCGAAGAAAACAGCTAATGTCGGTCTGTAGTATGGCTGGCGCTGCTCTGGCACCTGCCGCAAAGTGAATATATAGTCTATACAGCCCCCTCCTGGGCAGAAACCTGCCGACTTCTTTAATCCGGGATTCCCGTTCCGCAGTGTGGTGGCCGACGGGAATTGAGGCCAGTAGTTTTGTCACAGATGGTGTTAGACTAACATCTCTGTGATTAACACAATTGGTGCGACTGCCCTTTTTGTATGTTGCCACTATAATCGATTCACTCCAGTTAGTCGGGTTTGTCTCTACCCGCCAGACATGTTCGAACAAAGAGGCCAAAGCTTTGCAAAGGCCGTCACCTCCATCCTTAAATGAAAAAATGAAATGAAATGTGTCAGCTTATACGCCGTAACGGCGCTTCGCTGCCGCGCGACCACCACCAGTCGCGCGCGGGCTGAGTATACCGCGAGGACGCCCACCCCTACGCGGATTCGAACCGGTGACCTTATGGTTGGAAAGCAAACGTGCCAACCACTCGGCCATCCTTAAATAGTGCAGGTAGGATGGAATCTGGGGCAACGGCTTGAAAACAGTTGGTGAGTTGTGATCGGCTTTCGGACCTCGGCCACCGACGGAGTCTCTACACTAACCGTGCATGGCTCAGCCTGCATCACCTGAGTAGGAAGGGGTCCGGAAGCAGGGGGCCGGCTGAACTGGTTTTGAAAGTGCTCCACTCAGCGAACAATGCCGCTCCCC